CTGCCAAAAGCATCCAAAAGCTGCTGCACCACCGGGACCAGGAACACGACACACCCTCAACTCGTAGCCAGTCGAGTTGAACTGCGGCCTGCAGCAGGATCTCCGGAAAGCGGCTGTCGTCTGGCTGGACCTCACTGAGATGTCACAGATGGCCTCAACATAGGTCAAACCGGCGTCATTTCCGGCTCAGACAGGCACCCAAAACTCCAGGCCGGAAGTCAAAGGCAGCAGAGGGTTCCCGTCCTCTCAGGGCCAAGATGTCGCTTGGGCTTCTGGTCCGAGGAAGACAGACAGAAAGAGACAGAGAGACAAGCAGACAGACAGACAGACAGAGACAGACAAACAGAGACACAGACAAAGACAGACAGACAGACAGACAGACAGACAGACAGACAGACAGAGACAGAGACAGAAAAAGACAGAAAAAGACAGATAGAGACAGACAGACAGACGGACAGAGATAGAGACACCAGCCAGAGAAAAGACAAACAGAAAGACAGACAGCAAGCAAAGCGAGACAAACAGAGAGACAAAGAAATAGAGAGACACAGAAAAAAGAAACAAAGGGACAGAGAAATAGAGAGACAAAGGAGAGACAGAGGAGAGACAAAGGAGAGACAAAGGAAAGACAGAGGAGAGACAGAGGGGACACAGAGGAGACACAGAACAAGGAGACACAGAGGAGAGGGGAGAGTTTGGGGTTAAGTTCAACCTGGATTGAACCCAGGTTTCAATCCAGATTGAATCTGGGTTGTCGAACAGTTGTTCAGAACCTGGGTTCAACCTGGTTGAACCTGGGTTGAATCTGGATTGAACCTGGATTCGAACCTGGGTGGATTGAACCTGTATTTGAATTATCGTGTGGCTTTGTTCTTTTGCATTTTCATTTTTCGCTTTTTGTTTTCATCGTTTTTTCATCTCAACCTTCTTGGTGCAAGCACTCTCCCGGGTTACTGGTCCGAACACTCTCCTTACGGGTTATTTCGCGAAAATGGACCCTCCCACAAAATGGCGCCGCCACAAAACGTTCTCTGACCATTCTCAGCGTTTTCAGCTCTCTCCCCGGTCCACTCCCCTCCCCATCTCCTCGTCCCTGAAGACTCCCAGCACGTGGCTGCGCAAGGCATGAAGCCTACCAGGCCGCAGCCCCGAAGACACCAGCAAGGCCTGCCTCGGTTTACCAACGTCGAGCTGTAATTGTAAATGGCCGACATCGTGCTGTTTTGAGAGCAGTAATCATCAAAGTCATCAAATCGTCAGCACAGTAGAACTGATCATGGTAATGATCATGGTCATACTCGGCTGTCTTCCTTGCTTCATCCCAGTAAACGTTCACTCAGCAGGACCCTGTTCATGTTACTGCAGCAGCTGTTGCCTGGCGCCTTTGACATAGTGCATCGCCAGTTGCAGCAGTTAAAACTGCGGAGCAGTCGTCGAAACATCGAGCGTCTTTGGGCTGGGAAGCCCGCATGCCATCAAGAAGGATGTGCTCCGCGGCGACGTCAGATGTGACCTTCTGCAGAGCGAGGAGCACGGCTAATCCTCTGATCCGGAAACAACTACATCTACTGGAAAAAAAGAACGGCACTCGCACACATGTTGCAGGCACAGGGGAAGCGTCTGTCCATCGCCAATCTCATTAAGCGGTCAGGAAAATCACGGGAGGCTGGGGCACCTCGATGCCCATGACTTCTTCATCTGCCACCGGCTCTGAGATGCCATCGAAGCACCTGTGAAGCAGGCTCGTGGCATGACACAGGCTTCGTGCTGATGCTGACATTCCCAAGCCAATGCGACTCGAGCTTTTGGTTCTCCACCACACGCAGGAAGCATAATGCTTCAAACACACTAGCCCAACAGAAACAGTAGGCTGCCGATGATGACTATCGCACACACACACACAGTGAACATCATGCTGCCTGCTCCTGATTCGTCATGCCTGCGCTATGGAGCGCTGGCATTAAGAGCATGAGGCATGCAAGCAGGATGCCTTGTTTAGATGTTGCCAGAGCTCTGGCTGTGTTAAGGCCTCCTGGTTGCACACACCGGCCTCTCTGTACAGGCTGACCGAGGGGTCATAGCGAAGATAGCGGACAACGAGTTCCAGAGGCACCAGATGCTTGTCACGTTAATCTGGCCATCTAGTTAAAAGATGTTACAAGTGGACGCCCGCGAGACATCCGCAATCAGCTGCTCTGTTGACCCCTGGGAGCGCATGGCACACGCCCTGAGAAACACCTTCCCAATTCGGGAACCATCCCTCACGGGATGGCCTGGAGGAACCGGAACCTGGATATGCAAAATGTATGACCCGATGAACAGCCTCCATAATAAGCTTGATCCGTACCCACGGCTTACGTGAGGCCCCATTCCTCCATGGTCATCCTCGCAGGAAGAGAAGAACAAGTGTCAGCTGGAACGGCACGGTCAGCACCTAGCAGTCGAGGCTCAGTGGCCTCGAGCCGAAGCTACCCCAATAGGTGACGGGCATGATGCTTGCACTCGCACCGGCCCTGCACTTACCGAAGCCTTTCAAAAGATGAAACACGACAAGGCAATGCAACCTTCAAGGAGTTAAAGTAAAGAACACGAGAACATACACCGAAGCACCCACGTCGAACCCTTCAGCTGCCCTCGCCATCCACTTCCTGGGAAAATGACGCGGCATGTAAGCGCCAACTCCTTTTAGAGTTTTCGTTGCGAAGATTGCCATCAAATGTCAGCTACCTACCCATAGGGGGAGCCTGGATCCAGCGCTGCAGGACGGCTTCTTTGCGAAACCTACCGGCGCTCCCCCTCCAAATGTGCTTCAAATAATTCAGCGCTTGCTTCAGGGACTTGAAAACCGCTTGAAACAACCGTAGGACGAATTTCGCACAGGTGCCTCAGTTTACAGCGGCGCAGACTCGTAGCTACTGCAGCCCGGTTCACCACTTACGGGACGCAAGGCAGCGACCTCTCTGAAATAGAGAGGCAACGCAGTGTGGTGGTAGGTGCGCTGACTGCGCTTTAGACTCTTGGTACCAGTACAAACCCACAGCACAAGTGCTCCAGGATATTGAGCCGCGGACCCACATGAGGCCCCCAGCCTGAGGCTGCACCCCATCAAAGGACCCCCGAGAAAGGCACGGATATGCACTCAACAGGGCTTGTAGTCAATTGAAGGCTATGCTCCGGCTAAATCAGACATTTTGTGGTTTAGACTCGCTGGTGAAATGGGCAGGACTGTCGGGACCTCATGCACCCTACGTTTGGCACCATTCCAGTTTCACGAGTGATTCCTGCAGTCTGCCCTTTTCGCAATGTGCCCGCTGGAAGGCCAAGTTGGTTGTAAACATTCGAAGATTCAGGACTGCAAAGATTGCGCAGATGTGACAGCCATGCAGCCATCTTGCATCCGATGCAATCCCGTCGAAAGATAAGCTGAGCCGCTGTGGCAAATTGAGGGTATCTGCAAAGCTTCAAGGAGCGGGCTCCATCTCCAGCTCCTGCTGCCCAGCATGAACAAGAGACTGACAAGCTTAGGTCACGCAAGTGCATGGCGCACTTCTGCAGTACTTCCCGGGCGAGCGATCCTCGAAGCCATTCATCAAGGTCTGCCGCAGGCAACAGGGGCGAATCTCTGTGACATCCTCAGTGCACCAACTTTGAGCAAACCCTTTGCATCTCAGGCCCTGAAGTTTCGATGAGCATGCACTCCACGGATTGCTGACAAACATGGTGAAAAGGTCAAGCCATATCACTTGCTGTGTAGAGACCCGAAAACCCGGGACAGTTGCCGTGTTGGTAATTATGCTTCCACCTCCCACCGATTCACGGCTTGTACATGAATCATTCGACTTGATCTGTCCTCACCATCAAACATCAGCCGGAGATGCAATCACGTGCTTGTGGATCCGCCACGCAAGTTGTTGCGAATCCTTACATGAGACCGGAGCTGACAATGGCTGCACAATGTGAAGACCAGGCGCTCTTCCCTACCGATCCGTTCTTCGTGCAGACAGGAATGTACGAGTGGAGGGCCAACGTAGGAGGCTCGGCATGACAAATTAGTAGCGGGCGCAAGAATCCGAAGATCAAAGTTTATACCAAGGATCGGCTCGATTTGCCTGCTTCCTCATCTCGTACAAGGATATAGCCGAGATCTTGAAGCTTCTGTAGCCTCTCACATCTGCTGCAGGTTGAAGAAGCGCGCAACAAATACTAATGACTGTGCTTGCTGCTGCCTGAGACTTCAACAAAATCGTTGCCCAAGTTCCATTGCAAGGGGTCCTGGTTTAGTCGCCACGATTTTCTGTACTGGGTTGAGGCGATGAAAATTGAACATCGCCATCTCGGGCGGTCTGAATTCGGTACTCTGGTCAAGAGTAGCTATGAGTCAAAAACGGAGCATGTCCTTTCCAGCCTTGTGCATGCATGCCGATCGAATCATGATGCTGCTAGTTGCATCCAGCTGGCTGCTGGCTACAATGATGCAAGTGGCACTATCCAGCTGCCAAACTATCTGCCAACCAAGCGGACAACGGTGTAAGGGTGTAAGCATCTTCGCGGGTAATCCGCATCTGCCTACGTATCTTCGTGACTCGTGGTGCCTATGCTTTCTCAAGTTCCTCCAACCACAGGCTCAAGGATTGTCTCAATTGAACAGTTAAGACCAGTCTGTGCTCAGAGAAAACCCTTAGAGACCATGACCTACCGACTTTGTCTCGCTGCCCGGTTTTGGGTACGGTAGGCAGCCAAAGTTTCCAAGCTACACCTATCCCTAATCGATCTCCAAATATGGTTTGTGCTAGCCTTGGAAATTATGAACTGAACGGAGGGACGGAGGGCCGTAGACTGCGAGACCATAAACTTCGTCTACCATCGGAACAACAGGCCTCAAGGAGAGGGGCTGGCACCATCCAATTTGCATTGTGTCTTTATTGGCTTTTTGTTACTAGCCGCACGAAGCTGTACCTATCTCTAGTACACATGGACTGCGAAAACACCAGACAGCCCACCTAAACGCAGCTCTCCCTGGCAAGTCCAGTGTACCCGAAGATCGAAACCGTACCTGCAAGCTGTCAAGGGCTTGACACGCACCGAGTGAGAGTACAGCCCCTGTTAGATCTTGTCAAACCACAGGACGGAGAACATCGTCGCTGCTGGTACCAGTGTTCTGCAAAATTGATTTCGCGCTGCCATGCCCGGATGGTAGCCGTTCGTCCCACAACACATGACTCTCAACCTCCTTCCCAAGGCATCAAAGCTGCGGTCGGCCGTCACAGACCTGGCACTCAACCTTAGGCAAGCATCGGCAAACAAAACTGGCACAGAAACTAACTGACTTGACGACCTCGTCTACGTCAGGTCTGCAGCCAAGCAGCAAGTCCATCGTGAATCAACTTCTTGCTGAATGCGCGAATCATCGTGAGGCATGTTTCCTGAAGCTCGAGCTGCAAAGTCTCCGCTCGAGTAGAACCACAGTAGCACCGCTGGCCTTTAACCTCCTGGCAAGCGAATTACTTCCAACTCCGTCGGAACCGAAACCGAAGGTTGGTATCTAAACAGTCAGAGTTTCGGGTTTGAGTCTGGGTTGGGGAGCTCTTGCAGCAAGACTCGTAAGTCGACAGGCATCCGGCCAGCTGCTTTGGCTCGTCCCACGGCTTCCGTAGTTGCAGTGTCAGCGCCCTCAGGCTTTCACAAGCCACGCAGGTTAGCAAACTTGGCGGCTTACTTTCCGCAGGATACCTCTACTGCACACACGGATTGACGAAGCAAATAGCAAGCGGTTCTGCCAGGCAGCTCATCGTAAATGCTGAAGTCTGGAGCTCTGGTAAAGAAATCCTTAGTATGACGAGGAAAGTACAGGAAGGACGTAACTTTAGCAGTTAGCAACTTCCATTTTCCACTCCATGGCAGAGAAACACGCTGCCAGCAACTCGAGCAACGGCATCGAGCAACAGTTCCGAGTAGGTGACATTCAGGCTTCAGAAACACATGCGCACGGTTGGTCTGCAGAGCAAGGTGTCGAATGTCACATGCCGCCCTAGAGCTGCCCTACAACCGCTGATATTCACAAGTTTCTACAGTCTAGTCACAGCCGCCCTACGATGCCTGGTCACTCTACAACATCGCGGCGAATGTCTCATGCCGCCCTAACCTAAGCCTACACTTACTACCCTACTCCCACCTACCGGCGCTCAACCTCCGCGGCCTGGTCGCCAGTGATGTCATCACGCTCTGATGACTCTGGTGTTGCTTGCTTACTGGTGGCTGGGGCTCTGACTCAGGAGCTTGGGGTTTGAGGCGGTCGGGATTTAGGGTGGGGTCGAGGTTTAGGGGTCTAAAGTGTTGGGTCTTACGGGTTCACGGCTTTTCTTGCTACCTCGGACACTTCTCGATTTGTGTATCGGGGTATTGCGGCACACTTCTTGCTTTGTGCGTGTCATCCTTGCGCAGGTGCCCGAGTTCAACAAGCGGGTGAGCACACTTCTGCATGTTGCAGGATGCAAACTGGCCTATGGACGTTTGTTGAGATAAGCTGTATTGCGCCGGCTACGCTGTCTAGCACCTAGGTTATCAGAGTACATGATGGCATGTTGCTGGAAGGACATCGGAGAGAATAGCAAAGCTTAAAAAGCTTAGGACAAAATCGGGCAAAACATGAAACAACGACAGGCCAGAGACCAGATAAACTGAAATTCACCTATGTTGGGCCTCTCCCCTGGCAGGACCGGGAGCGGGGCTCAGGCAACGTCATCTCTTAGGTTCTGGTATTCCTGCAGCATGTCAACCCTGCTTCCGGTCGCAGCGCTCTTCTCAAGGTTGCCGCAGCTCATGAGATTTCAGGGGCAGCCGACCAGTCAGAAGACCCAAAACTAGCGGGGCGGAGTTGGTGATGCTAGATTCAGCCAAGGCTCCGGATAGTCACTCCTGCGGGAAAACATGGTTGAGACAACGTCTCGGGACGAGTAACGACTCTGTCAGCTCTCGCCCCAAGGAGTGGCCCATCGGCTTTGGTCCAAAAGAGTGTCTCTTGACAAATTCGCTCCTGAGCACATCTGTGATCTTCCCAAGACTCAGGCAGTATTCGTCTGGAGGCTTGGTCTTCGGCTCGAAGGGTGACTTGGCATGGAGTGCGGCTTGAGGGGGATGCTGATGGATGGTGCATGTCTGGTACTGCGCAGCACAACCAGTGTGCAGGTCATAGTCATAGATGTTCTACACAACACCGAAGTCGGGAGTCGGGACCCCTGCTTCGCCTCTCAAAGCCCCCGGAACGCCTGTCGCCAAGCAAAAGTTCTTCAATTCTGTCCCTCCACGTGTCGGGAGACTCCAGGCATCGTTCAAGCCACACCAGTCGGTCAAAACGGGACATGGACAGTTGCAAGCTTGTGGAGAGGAAGACTTAGTGAACAGGGCATTGCCGGACTTGTAGGCTCAGCCTTCGCGCTCAGGTACACAGCCTGCCTATGCGCAACCGCCCCAAATTTGTCGGAAGCATCCTTTGAAGTGGAAAGAAAACTTTGCCGAGGTGCCGGACCCCAGCCCGACAGCGGTCGGTCGAAGCCGTGCGGGGACGGTGCAGCGAAGCTCGGCGTGGGGATCGGAGGCTTGGGCCCAGGTTTAGGCCTTGGGGTAGGGCTTGCAAGCGTAGCTTGGCATCAAGCTTCAGCCTCGGAAGGCTTCGCATCTTGAGGCTTGCCATGTCCAAGGTATCGGCTGGGAGAGCAGTATCTCAGTATCCTGGTTTGGGGTTTTCTGATGCTCATGCAGAAAAGCCATCCCTCTGGACCAGAGGAGGGGGCAATCATATGTCTCAGGTCGGGCTCTCTGAGCCGCTTGCAAAAGGTCTAACGAGGATCGAAGTCCAACCCGAAACCAGGGAACGCCTCCTCCGAGAAGCCCGGAAACACCCCGGCCTCCACGGCTGCAGATTCTTGGCCACCTGAAGAGGCGAGAAGCAGATACAAGCCAGCGGAAAAGCGTGGCGATCTAGGGCCACCAAGCATGGACTTTGGCTTGGCCAGGTACTGGGTCGCTGTGCTGGCCGAAACACGAACAACCAAAACTGAACACACCTCGTAACTTGCTTTACCTCACGGAGAGCCTTGTCGTGAGCATCAGGTGTGAGGGGGCATGGCTTTTTGGCTGAATCTGTGAACTTACAAGAAGATCCTCGTTCTTTCCGGATGAGGACTGAAGATGTGGCAAGCAAACTCTGAGGCAGCGGCACCATCTCCCGGAAACATCGACTGATTTGGCCACCTACATGACAGCTGAGTTGAGAGTGTGGACGAAGCAGGAAAGCCAACAAGACTGTCCACACGCCATATGTGGTTACATCCAAGACTGGGGCCTGCCCCGGCACATCCCAGGCCCTGCCAAGCACGAGGGGCTTCGCAGATCTAGGCAGCTCCAAAGGACCATCACCGTGCGGACAGCGCGCTGATCCCGCCTTTGCCTGGTGGCCGCCACAAACTTCCTAGTTCCTGCACCCCCAGGGCCTCGCACCATTTGTGCACAAGCTCACCGGAGACACAAGTAAAACAGATCGAAGCGGAAGACCGTCCAGCCTTGGGCTGCTCGACAGCCCAGCTAGGTAAAAGCGTAGCACGTCTCCTGCCTCTGGCCGCAAGCGACGCAGCACGCGGGCCATGGAGCTCAGCGTGCCTCAACCTGGAATGACATGCACGGCGTCGAGGCTCACCTCCTGACACTGTCCCTGGCCTCTACAGGGCAAGGCTGCAGCCGGCCCGGTCCACCTAAGCCACAAGGCTCATGCGTCTTATTGGCATACAGCTACATCGCGTCGCACTCAGGCCACCAAAAACTCCTTCTCTGCCTTTTGTTTCTATTTGTTTCTATTTCACTCAGACTTGTCATAAATGGTTGCTCGATGAATTTAACAGGCAGAGAGAAAGAGAGAGAGAGAGAGAGAGGCAGAGACAGAGAGTGGCAGAGACAGAGAGACGCAGAGAGAGAGAGAGAGAGAGAGAGAGAGAGGGAGAGAGAGAGAGAGAGACGCAGAGAGAGAGACACAGAGAGAGAGAGCGAGAGAGAGAGAGAGCGAGAGAGACAGAGAGGGA